AGGCCTGAGTTCAATCCCCAGAATCACTCACCAGGCATGGTGAGGCATGTATTCCTGACATTTAGGAGGTGGAGCAGGAGGGGCAACATATCAGCCATTCTCAGCTATGCAGTGGGTTTGGTGCCAATCTGGGCTACATGAGACCCTTTTTCCAAAAACAAAAAAGCTTGGGTCACTAGCACCTTAGAAGAAACAAGTCAAAGGATAAAACATTTAAAAATGAATAGAGATAAGAGTTCATAGCCTTTCCTTCTAGGAAAGATGGAAGCTGATGAATGCTGTCCTTGGTATTTATTCCTTCATTTCTAGCTGGTAACAGAAATGATTCCCATGGTCTAGCTGCACTGTAGTTCGACATCAGCAGGTGTCTCTCTGTTCCTAAGCTAGGCAGGCTCATGGGACAAGTATCCATTTGAGCTTCCAGATGTCAAATCCCACTACAAGAAACAGATAATGATTCTAAGCAGAGTTTGAGGAGAGCAGCCAGACACCCAAAAGCTGCCCAGTGTCTGTGTTTTCAGCTTTACAGAGTGGGCTGGCCTCACATCTAATGCTCCCGTCCTTTTTTCTAGAGTGTAAATTTGGTTTTGGTTTCAGGAAATTAAGAACATTTGGTCACAATTTTCACATTATCCAGGATGCTTTTGACCATATCCTTGCTCACATTAAATATTCTTAATTCCTTCAACTTGTCCTCATACATATTAATTATCAATTGTTTTCTTGATCACCTGTGAATTCTCCTCAGAACCATTGTAATCCCATGGCAGTGAATAAATGATTCCTTTTTTTAATTAGGGGGAACTCTGTAGTGTAAGTGCATGGTGCAGACTGCTACTAAACAACTTTGTACCTGCTGTTGCTTTTAGCTCCACAGCAGCCATGGTTCTTACAATACGAAGTCTGGGAAACAAATACAAATAGCAATAGTAATAACATCTGTAGTAAATAGTCATTCTTTCCCAGGAAGTATTTACAAGTTACAGTGCGAAGCCAGCCTGGTCTACAGGGCGAGATCCAGGACAGGCTCTAAAACTACACAGAGAAACCCTGTCTCGAAAAACTTAAAAAAAAAAAAAAAAAAAAAGTTAACAGTGCTGGGGGGCTGACAGCGCTTACATACCAATAACTGGGTCTTGCATGCAATTTTCGTCGGAACATCCTTTAGCAGTGTTGCTGGAAATTAACACTGTTACCAAGAGAAAAACACTACTGCTGAGAATAAAATCAGTGCTGGTAGTAAAGTCCAAGAAGTTGTGGAATGCAGTTTCAGTGACTGCATGACGTCACTTGCCTGGAGGAAGGGTCTGGATGAGTTGGTTCTAGCTCACTTTCTCAGAAGCCTTGTGTGCTGGGAGAGTCTGTGCTCCCAAAGCAGCAAACTCTGATTCTCTACTTCCCTCCCTCCCTCCATTTTTTTTTAACACAGACCTGGCTAACTTGAACCCATTTACAGTGATCCACCCACCTCTGCCTCCCAAATGCTCTGACTACAAGTGTGTTCCACCTTACTTGACTCAAATCTGATTCATAAATAATGGGTGTTTTTGAAATAATGTAAAAAGGAAATTCACAGAAAACAAAGTTTTACTAAAATAATAACAAATTTTGTGAAAGAAAAGTAACTGTTTTAGGCATACGACAAGTATTATCCCATCTGATCCTTACAGAGACCCTGCTTTTCTTTTCTTTCTTTTTCTTTGTTTTTGTTTTTTGAGACAGGGTTTCTCTGTGCCTTTAATCCAAGCACTCTGGAGGCAGAGCTAGGTGGATCTTTGTGAGTTTGAGGCCAGTCTGGTCTACAGAGTGAGGTCCAGGACAGCCAGGGCTACACAGAGAAACTCTGTCTCAAAAAAAACCAATAAATAATAAATAATAATAATAATAATAATTATTATTTATTATTTATTTATTTGGGGTATATGTAGGTGCTCATGTAGCCATGGAAATACAAGTGTGGAGGTCAGAGAACAGGCAATGGGAGCCAGTTCTTTCCTTCTACCATTTGGGTCCCTGGGTTTCCCCTCAGATCATCAGGTTTGGCAGCAGGAACCTTTACCTACTGAGCCATCTTGCCAGACATATGTCTGCCTTTTCTTTTCTTTTTTTTTTCTTTTTTGGTTTTTCAAGACAGGGCTTCTCTGTGTGGTTTTGGAGCCTGTCCTGGGTCTCGCTCTGTAGACCAGGCTGGCCTTGAACTCACAGAGATCCGCCTGGCTCTGCCTCTCGAGTGCTGGGACTAAAGGCATGTGCCATCACCGCCCAGCTGCCTTTAATCTATTTTTGAACTTTCATAGATATCATATAGCTATCCTACATAGTGGTGCAAAATATAACCTACTTTCCACAAACAGCAGGTGGCACTACTCATCAGTGAAGAAATGGGAAAACGTGATAAAAGCTAAGCAGCCAAAATATGTATCTTTTAGAAGATGACTCATTTTTTCAAAAAACATACATCATCATACCCAATTAGAAACTGTAATATGAACATACTGTCATATTAAAATTCATTTGTTTATCTTGTGCAAAAGAGCTAGCTTTATAATAACAACAGACAATTTAAAAGATCTCTTCTTGGTAATTCTCTAAAAATGAAGACATAAGTTACTTTTGATTCATTATTGATGAGAGATTACATGAGGAGACAAGAAGCAGCCAATAAGACTTCCCTTTAACTGGAAAATTCTGGTGAAAACACATTTGCAAGAAGAAATTTTTCAATAATGGTATGTAGATGTAATTCTGAATGGTTTTATTAAATAAGAAACACAGAGCCAAATGCAGAGTTAAAAGCCCAGAGATCAGAGAGCAGTAGCCAAAAGCTGAGACCACCTTCTTACCACTTACTACCGTCCTTCCCCACAAATAAAATATCACCATAGAGGTATTCACTCAAAAATCCTAAGAAAGCACAGTCTGGCAAAGATTACTAGAAGAACAAATATTTAAAGAGAAAACTCAAACAACTTAATTATTGCACAAATGCAAATTAACCATAAAACAACTGGAATGTGATAAAAAATTCAACAATCAAAGACACCAATAAACAAAGATAATTCATGGTACTGTCCACTACAGCTCATGAGGAATTACATTTTTATTGTCACCTCATTGTAACTCCTTGATTCCAGAAGCTCCCCCAAACTATCACAGGATTCTAGAGGCAAGCTAAATCAAACACTGTTGAATGTGAGCCCCTCCACATGGCCCAGCAAGCCAGCAGACACTCTGTCAAAGGCTACTTCATTCCTGGAAACACAAAATGCTGCACCATTTTCCTTCCAAAACACAAAGGCACATCATAAACTCAACTTCTAGAAAAGTTATAAATTAAAACTTCAGAGATTAAAATAAAAATAAAAGGTAAAATGGGGGGAAGATTATACATTTTGGCTGTATCGAATTTTAGCTCTAAACTCCACTAAATCCTTCTTCCCAAATGGAAAACTTATTGGAAATAAAAAATGGAAACAGTGTTTCAGAAAATAAATAACAACAATAAGCAAGTCTCACAAAAATTTTCGTTGCACTATTCCAAGCTGTTATATATGCAGAGTTTTGGGACATAACATTTTTCCACTGTCCTATACAAGCATTTTTTCTATGTAAAAGCCAGCAAAAAAATTATATAAAGGGTCATGAAACCCAGACTGGTCTGAAACTTGCTATATAGCTGAGGTTGGACTTGGACTATTGATCTTGCCTCTGCCTTCCAGGTGCTGGGATGACAGATTTCCTCTAGTGCTGAACCCCATTATACATAGTATAAAATCCCCCAAATCTGGAAAGCCTTTGTCAAGCTGTTTCCAAGCAACAGTAGATTATCCACCTAGACAGAAACAGTATTTCTCTCCTTCTCTTTTCTTCCTCTTTCAACATCTAAAATTCTCCTGAGAATTTCATACATGAGTATTGTATTTCCATCATTTCCACCAACCCTTTTTCTCACATCCAACTCCTCCTATGCCCCCAATCTCTCACAAGTTTGACTTGACATAACTAGTATTTTTTCAGGCATTCAGTTACTACTCTAATTCCTATACAACATGTCATTTATATAGCTACCATGTTTGTTTTATTATCTGCCATGTTCGTTTTAAATCAAAGACTCAGCTCACATACTTCATTAAGTACAACTACAAATCTATTTTTTTTAAAAAAGAAGTTAAGCTTTTAAGCTTAACTTACCACCATTTTAAGCTAATTACCACCATCAGCTCTTGCCAAGCAGTAGTGTCTCCCTGGTCTCATTATCCCATTCATTGAATTCACTATAGCCACATTCATCTCAGAACCATTAAAACCACACCTTGCAACTACTTGGACATTTAAGATCTTCTATGGAGGAGGAGTGGGCAATGAGATGGCTCAGTTGGGTAAAGGTGATTGGCAAATAAGCTTGGACCCATATAGAGGTGGAAGGAAAAACAGACTCCTGTAAATCATCCTTACCACCACACATGTTCCTTACATGTGCCCATACCTTCACACATACATCACACACACACACACACACACACACAGAAATTTTGAAGAGATTTTCAATGAAGTTGGGATGAACCCCATAGATTCAGGGAAGCATTGCAGTAGTTCCTACTTACCTCTGGCCTACTGTTCTCTGTGTTCTCAAGTTCCTACTTTAAGAAACTTACACCCAAGAACTTCAGTGTGCACCTCCACCACCCATCAGTGGAATTTCTCCTACTCATCCCTCAGATCTCAGCTCCAGTTACTACTTATTTAAGCCATTCTTGAACCTCTAGTCTAAAATAAGTTTCCTTATTATAAAAATTTTAGGTAATTTGAACTTTTCCTTCATAGCACTTTCTATAATCACACAAATTTTTTAGTATTTATTATCTATATGTCTATTAGTCAGTTTGTGGCAAGGATGTAAGAATATTATCTATTCTATTAGCCACAGTATCTCTTAAGATTATCTCAATATCAGCATATATTGTATCCAATATTAATTTAATTCTTTTCTGGTATCCTAGATGCTGAATTGATGAACTATTGAGTATTTTCTGGAGACAAAGACCAAGTCTTACTTCAAGCTACACTGGGCTTTCCTTCCTGGTGTCCTACTCCTTGCTGTGAGTCTTAGCCTGTCTCATATTGGTATCCTAAATTAAACAGTCATCAGTTTTCACTCCTTTCAATGTCTTTAAACCTTCAGAGACTCTAATATGAAGATTTAGCAACCTAACCTTTAAAAGTCATGTTACCATGATGAATATAATGCACAAATGTTTTCTATGAATTATTTTCACCAAGTTTAAGAAACCACATCAGAGAACTAGCCAGAAAATCTAGTCTGCAAACTCTGCATATATTACATAACATGTTTCTTCCCCCACAATTCTGCAGAAATAAACTACTGCTAGACAATTCGGTATTATATAACATACTTTGGAATGTACACTTAATACAGAAGATAAAAGAAATAACTGCTGTTGATGGAGATATGGCTCCACAGGTAAAGGCACGTGCTGCTCAAGCACTCACCTCAGTTCAAGCACACAGTGGAAGGAGAGAACTGACTACCAAAAGTTGTCCTCTGACCTCCTCACATATACCTTGGCACATGCGCCTTCCTCAAAAGTAAATGTATATTTTTTAAAAGACACAAAAGCTAAAGGACAAATTCATAACAGCAAGGAATAAATCATTTCAACATTTCATTGTTTTGTTTTTGTGACACAAACTCACTATGTAGGCCAGAACAGTCTTGAACTAGCTATGTAGCTCAAGGAAGCCTTAAATTCACCATCCTCCTGCCTCAGCCCCAGTGCTGAGATTATGGACATGTACTAACATGCTCAGTTCAGCATTTGTTCTTAAGATACACATGGTCATTGATACTACACCACCACAATTTTGGTTGTCTCAGATATCTTTATAGAACCATCAGTGTCTTCCTGTGATTGCCACAATTTCCATTTTCAATGGCTTCCCACTCATGTAACTGTAGTTCCCAAACTGGGCTTTCAAAACCCTCAGGTAGAGAAAGCTAGGTGTGAGGAGAGGAAGCCAAGGCTAACATGCTACATCTCTTTGGAAGACAACTTTTACTAGAACATGTGAACACATGACTAAACAACACAAAGACAGCTATGGCTCTACTGGGCAGCAAAATGTAAGCATGCAGGTCTTCAAGAACAGAGTGATTTGCAATTCAGAGCAGTTCTGAGTTTGGGGCCATTGTTTTTCAGATACATCATATACACTCAATAACTGTGTCAGAGGATTTTATTCATGCGTCATGTAGTGACAGTCTCAGTCAGCAACACTGAGACTCAATAGCATACAGTCCTCAGTATAGATCACAGGTTGCTAGTTCTTAGGGTCTTATCCCCAACACATCAATGTTTTCAAATACTGAAACACAGGGAACTGCCAATGTTTAGTTATTTTAGACGTATAAAACAGCAAATCCCCAGGCAGGCACCACTAAGTAATGTTATCGGCCTAAAATAGAGCACAAAAAATAATGCCGGAGGGTTGAGCCTGGTCCAATGTACCCAAAAGATGAAAGAGCATCCAAAGTCACAAAATTTGACCGAAAGAAGACAAACAGATTCCTGTGCTTCAGAGCCAGGCACAGAGGATCCCATTAGATACAAAGCAGTATGGACAGAAGCTCATATCAAATAGAGAAGTGACCGGAACAACGCCAACATCAAAAGACATGCTGGGGAAGGGGGAAAATCCAACCCCTAGACGAAGAACTATAGGCTGCTGAGAGAGGGACAATTATTCTCTTCTAGGGATGAGCCCTAGATTGGTTATCCCTCACAAAATAGTCAGCCCTGAAAATCATGTACACACACACAACCCCCCAAAACTTCAAAAACAACAACAACAAAAAACAGAGTGAGCAAGTTGTATTTATACATTTGTACATATACAAGTATATATGTAACAATAATAATCAAAGAAAGGGAGGTCATCAATTTGAGAAGGTATGAGGGGGGAAGGAAGAGAGGAAATGATAATTATATTTTAATTAAAAATGCATATTGTAAGAAAGGGAGAAGAAGAGGTAGTCCCATTCTAATCCAAGACCCAAACTGAACAAAACACCTGTCTTATGAGTGCATTTATATTTAACAAAACCATTCTAATATACGTAAATGTAAAACCTTTTAAGCCTGGTTATCTATTTTTGTTGTCAACAAAGAAACAGACTTAAAGTAAGAGGGAATAGTATTAATCATACAGACATATTGTGTATCAAACTGTATTACTCTTTAAATTTTTTTTTTACATGCTCACTTTGGCAGCACATATACTAAAAAATGTTTACATTCATTCATTCATGTGTTTTTGGAAGGGAGGGGTACCACAGCCCATGTGAGAAGGTCAAAGGACAACTTGCATAAGTAGATTCTCTCCTATCATGTAGATCCTGAGCATCAACCTGAGGTCATCAGGCTTGGTGGCAAACGCCTTTACTTACTTAGCCATCTCATCACTGGCTCTCCTTCTTTTGAAAATGGTTATTTGTGAAGCCAGGTATGGTGGCTCACTCCTGTAATCCCAGCAACTTGGTACACAGAATCTGGAATATCACTGCAAGTTCAAGGTCAGACTGGTCATGAGATACTAACCCAAAGAAAGATATCTGAAATTAGAGGTTTTTTAAAACTTGTGTTAATTTGGGACAAGAGCAGTTTTAGATTTTCAAAGGAGATGTTTTAATTAATATTAATAGGACATGATGAAAGACTATAAACTATTTTTTAACTCAATGGAAGTGAACATTTGAATAAGCCCCCAAATACTTTGCAATGGGAAAATGCAGGCCCACCTTCACTCAGGTTGGAAACTGCTAACTCTAAAAGGTTTCCACTTGTTCTAAATCCTCATGCCTGTTTTCAATCACACTTGTTCCTGCATTGGTGTGAAACAAATCAGATCCAGATACAATTGCTGAGGAAGTTCTGCTGTTAAAATGTGTGTCTGTTCTCTGTCAACTTGGCTTTGTTGATATGCTCATGGTAACATCTGACCAAAAAAAGCATTGAAAAAAAGTCAGCATGCTATGATTTTTACCCTACAACCAACACTAAAAATGCCACAACCAAAGAAACCCTGCTAGATACTCCTGTAACATTTCCATTTCTCTGAATTCATTACCTTTGACTATTATCTTAATTCTTAGAATGTGACAAACTAATGAATTCAAAGAATTGAAAGAAGTACAGTTTCTTGCCTCTCCTCCATGAAGAGGACGACACCTGTATAGCTTAGCAACTACCCTGCTTCTCCATCTTGCTCTTCACTTTCCTCCACAGAGAGGACCATATCCATACAGCTCAGTAACTCCTGTGTGGAACAGAACATTTTACCCTAGTTATCCTTGGCAATGATTGCATTTGACAGAAATTATACCAAAGCATAGATTCCTTAGTTCAAATACAGCTCAATGGTTCAATGTGTGCACACATATAGCTGCTAATTCTTATTTCTTCAAACTTTAGTAACTGAAAAAATGAGGGTTTTATGAAACAGGTACTCTAGGACTGCACTTGAAAGACTCTTTCCTGTCAGACAGGTTTCTTGAGAAACTAGGAAGCAATTTCAGAGCCCTAGGGGCCTCACATATACTAGGCAGGTACTCTACCCACCACACTATATATTCCAACTTATTTATTGCTCTTTCTTTCCTTTTCTACTACTATGGATGTCTTTTTTTTTTTAATTATGTGTGAGTGTTTTGTCTGCATGAATGTCTGTGCACCATGTGCTTGCCTGGTGCCCACAGAGGCCAGAAGAGGGTGCCAGATCTCTAGGAACTGAGTTACAGACTGTTGTGATCTTCCATGCTGGTGCTGGGGATTTAACCCAGGTCATTTGGAAGAGCAACAAGTGCTCTTAACTGCTAGGCCATTTCTCTAGCCACCATGAATATCTTATAAATTAACTCACTAGCTCACCCATAGCTATTAAGATTTATAATAGATTTATTTTTTACATTAACATCTCTGCTCACTCTATTTTGAATTCATTTGTATATATACTAGGAGGTACAGGTGCAATTTTACTCATTTATATGTCAATATCCAGTTATCCAGCAATCTTTCTTTGAGACTAATATTTTCTTATTTAATTGCCTTGGCACCTTGGTTTAAAATCAACTGCCCTCAACTACATGGATTTATTTCCAGCCTTTCAATTCCTCATCTCAGTAATATATAGTTATATGTGTATGTTATTAGCTCACAAGTTGTTGTTTATTGTTTTTCTTATCTGCTTTTTGTTTTGAGATAGGACCTTTCTATATAGTCCAGGTTAGACTCAAACTAGAGGTCATCTTGCCTCAGTTCCCATTATTGGATTATAGGCATGTGCTACCACATCTGGCCATCTCATAGTTTTTATTTTTGTAGCTTTCTAATAAGTTTTGAAATTGCTCCCTGCCCCAAATTATTCTGATGAAAACTGTCTATGGACTATGCTTGGAAAAATGCCATCTGATGCTTTCAAGTGTAATTACACTCTTCCAGCAGAGTCTTGTTTCTGTAATCATCAGAAATGCAGCTTTTGCAATATGGGCTTCTAAAACACAAACATAGCAATTTATCATGATTAAGTCATCTCCTCATTTCCAAATATCCCTCCACGAAATTATATGTCCTTGTTCTCTCTAAGTCAAAGGCCAGACTCTACAGGCTTTAGCTGAATTTGGACTGATGATGTATTCTCTTTGGCCAAATAATGTGAGCTTGAGCTATAGTTCCAGGTGTTCTGCATTGTTCTGCACCTAGTCTACTTTATTCTCTTTTGTGTATTTGAATTGTCCTTGTCTGATCTAAAATCATTAGTATAATCCTATTAAAGACAAATGGAAAACAGTGCTAATTTCTTATTTTGTTGTAAGCAAGTGCCAATTATTTCAATGATGTTATCAAAATGATTAAGTTCAAAGACCCTTCCTGAACTGAAGAATATTTAATGGATATGTACTGACTTGGTGTAATTCTACCGCTTGCAAGATTAGAGTAAATGGGTGAAACTCCACTTGGCTCAAAGTATTATCTGGTATCAAATCTACTGGAGATTTCAAAGTTGAAGATAATAAAGTAGGTAAAATATAATTCAAGTTTGTTGGTAAACTTCAAATAAAATTCTGAATTATCCTTACCAAAGATATTTAAAAGTGGTTTGCATGTGTTGGAGAAAAATACATAGATAAAAATGTTCCTCATCATGACATTAAAAGTCACTTTAAACATTTGCATGAAGAAAGCTTCAGAGATTCAAAGTCACTATGAGGAATGTGCTGCCTCTGCCTGAAGGATCTGTCATCAGCCCACTGTCATAGCTGTGGCTAAAGCTTCAGCATGGCTCTTTCTTTTGCTGTTCCTACTCCCCACAGAGGGTTTCAGATTGCTCTGCATCACCACTCTCCTCACACTAAGCCTGATCTACCTGAAGAAATGTTTGATTCTCAGTAAAATAGTGTATGAAGATATATGTTAGCAAGGGTCTCAAAAATGGATGAGGTAATTAGATGTTAAGAGCAGAGAGAAAGCCGACTGCAACATCAGATAAGTCAGGGTAGGGTTTGTTCCCCTCCTTTATCAATCTGTTCTTGAAGAATTAAAGTTCCTCCTTCTCTCCCTTTAAGACTAGACACTTCCTAACAAGGATAAAAGAAGTCTTTACAAAATAGCTCCAAGCAGAGATTTTCCAAACAGAGCTGTCACCTTGGCAATTAAGAATGTCTTTTTGACTTGTTTATGGTATATCCTAAGACCAATGCAAAAGCTTTCCTTTCATCTGCTTTATTCCAGTTAGAGCTGAAACACTTTCCAGTATAAAATTAAGTCAAACTGCATAACTGAAAAGCAGGCTGAAAATCTCAGAAAAGGAAGACCAGAGAAGAAAAGACTAAAAACAGAAGGGAGAAAGAAGATACTGTGGAAGGACAAGAGACAAAGGCTCTACAGAGAAGCACCTCAAGTACCAAGAAAGGAGTGGGTGAGCAGAGTCTAGTGTTGTCCAAGAGCAACATGTAGAGAAGTCCCATCCCAACGATCCCCACCCTAGAGGGGTTCCCTGCAGACTCTAATGTGTAAGTAGAGTTCAGAGAACAGTCATTCCCTTCATCTTTAGGACTCAAAAGTATGACTAATCAACTACCAGTGGGGACTGTGCCGTTGATTTCAGGCTTGGACTGTATCTGACATTAAGATATCTCAAAACCTGCATTTCTGAAATTTCCATGTAATTCACTACCAGATGTAAACATAAAGAAACTATGATTAAGAGGGATGGGGAAAGATCAGGAGCAAGAGTTAGCACATCACTGGATAGGTAAGCAGGCAGAGTAACCTGAGGTTCTACAGGTTCTTTTTAAGATCCCTGGAAACTTAAGTGTATTTCAATGCTAACTCACTTAAATATGTTCAATAACATTAGTTTCAGGTCATTGTAATTTATTTACTTTTCAAGTTGAAAACTGTTGAATAAAAATGTATTTTGGTTCTATTTAGTAAGAAAAGAAAGGGCTCAAAAACTACAGGTTTAAATACTATCAGGGTTCTATCGTTCATCTTTTCATGGAGATTTTTGTTACTACAAATAAACAATGACTTAAGATGTTGCGGGGTAAAAGAGATTTGCAGGGTAAAAGAGATTTGGAAGTTGGGCCTGCTGGTGCAGTCCTATAATCCCCACTACTCAGAAGTCTGAAGCAGAAGGACCACAATTTCAAGGTCTACCTAAGCTAAAGAATGAGTCAAGGCTAGCCTGTGTCAGCAATACCCTGTCTTAAAAGTAGAAGTAAAATGAAAGTTAGTTACACCCCAATTTAGCTTAGTGGTAGCATGCTTGTTTAACATGCACAAGGCGAGGTTCAATCCCTAGCCTCTCTACTCAAAAACAACCTGTACATTAAGAAGGAACTAATTTTTCTTTGTATTAAGAATTCTTATGAACAAAATAGAAACTTGTGTATTTGTTAACAAGCAAATTAAAATCCCCGTCTAAAGTAGTATGTACCTACTTCACTGGGATACTAGAGGAACAACTAGACATGCTTTAAGTAATTGCACTTTCAAATGCTTTAAGTGTCTTTCATAAGAAACAATTAGATAGCTTAAGGAACAACAACCAGACTATGGCATGTCCCGAGCTCCAATTCTTAGGTCAAGGAAGTACTGTGCAAACAGAAAATTGTTTTATTCGTTATGTAAGAATTTTCCTGCATTAGTCCTCAGAAATGAAGAGCACAATGGGTTGCACTACTAGGACACAGAAAAGAGGTAAAATGTCAAGTGGACATCTAAAAAATCAGCGCTTTTGAATACTCTAGTGAGACAACCTAAAACATAGGAGGCCAGAAGGTCTTTTATGCCTCTTCTGCCTAATACAATGGCAGTCTTAGAACAGGCAGCTGACAGCATGCTAGTAATGTTATATATGTACAGCTATAATTAAGGGGCCCTAGACAATAAAAAGATCAATCTTTATTTGGTTAAAATGTCAAACAATGCAGTCCCCAAAGTGATTTATCATGGAGAAGTCCTGCCAGAGCAGTGAGACACATCTGTGATATGAAATTAATAGTACTACAAAATGAGATACCACTGGACTATGAATTGATAAGGCCTCAACCTTAGTAGGAGAGTACATAGTGATTTATTTTAATAACTTAGTTACTTTTGTCTTAAGAAAGAAAAAAAGAACCTGTTTATTTCTGTGGAGCTAAAGGACAAAAATAATCAGAATTTCTTTAAAATTTTTTAAATGCAAAAATCTATTTCTAAATTGGCCAAATAGATAAGGGATGTATAAGACAGTACTGTATGTGGATGAGAACAAGGTATGCAGTTTTTAGGAGGGTGTGTTCTTGCTAAAGTTTTCCTGCCTGGCCCACAGTCAGGACAAATCTCTCTCACCTGCCAGTCCCACAGACGCTCAGACCTGACCAAGTAAACACAGAGACTTATATTGATTACAAACTGTATGGCCGTGGCAGGCTTCTTGCTAACTGTTCTTACAGCTTAAATTAATCCATTTCCATTAATCTATACCTTGCCACATGGCTCATGGCTTACTGGCATCTTCACATGCTGTTTGTCATCGTGGCGGCTGGCAGTGTCTCTCTGACTCAGCCTTCCACTTCCCAGCTTTATTCTCCTCCTTGTCCTGCCTATACTTCCTGCCTAGCCACTGGCCAATCAGTGATTTATTTATTGACCAATCAGCAGCACATTTGACATACAGAACATCCCACAGCAGTGTGTCATCCACAAACACACTCCAATAAAGCCCACCTGCTAAGATACTGTTGTTCTTCAAGACTTAAAAAGAAGAGTCCAGAAATTTATCAGCTAAACTTGGCTATGTATAAAACAGAATAATAAATGCAAGTAGCTTCTCTCACACAAGTCTCATTTAGAAATAGATCTTGTTGCTACTATATGACACAATATAATTAATCTATAAATAAGAGGCTATTACTACTAACAACTGCATTGGAAATCTTTCAGTAAGAACTAGTTAAGAAGTATTTTTACAACCCAACTTCCTGAGAATGGGAAGTACTCAAATACTCCACACAGCTTTTCAGGTAGTCATTAAAATGACTAGTACAGGTCAAGCTTGCATGTCGTCTTTATTAAAAATGCTACCTATAAATGGAATGACATAGAATACAGTAAACAGTTTAACTTTAAGGATCAAACTATAATTGTAAAGATTAAATCCTGTTTTGTAATTGTTCCACTCCCTATATAAAATATAGCTTGTCTTTGTGATGCAAGAGAATTTTACTTAATAAATATATTTATCAAATACCACTTTCTAATGTAATCAACACTAGGAATTTTGCTTTATGAGCTATGTTAACACTAGAACTGGTTTCCTCTGTCAAATCCAAAATATCCCTTCTCAGGTACTTTGCCTTCATATACAGCTCCTGGAAGGAGGATTAAAGGTCATGTGATTTGCCTAGTTCAATTCCCTACACAGGATACAATTCCCACAGATGGGCAACTGGCCTAAGGTGACCCATCTCTGTGACTTACGACTATTCTGGCATATCCGAAGACACGTCAGATCAGTCAGGTTTAGTCTCAGAAATTTTATCTAAAAGATACATAAGGAGATTGTTAAGGGTAATCCAATGTGTTGGAGGTGAAATGCCATTCATACCTTCTGATACGTGAGACATCCAAAAATTAGAACTACAAATGGGGAGGCCAAAAGACAAGAACATCTGATTTACAGCATGGTCACCTGTAGTTACTTGGATGCCTGCCCTTCCTGGGAACTACATTTTCTCTATGTTCACAATAAATCTTCACTGTACTTGAGTTACTACCTAGGTTTCTTTTTCGTAGAAATCTTAACTGAAATGGAAGGAATCTCTAAGGTCTTAACTTACTGTTTCTCTTGTAAAACTTGAAGTAAGTTATTTTTCAGCCTGTAGAATTTAAATGAAGATGATAAAAACACTTTTGCCCACTATTTCTTCATCCCTATTTTCCTCCAATAGATGTTTATATGTGTATGTCAAGTTAGACACAAGGTATTCAGTAGTACACACACACAAAACTACTCTACCTTTTGAGCATTTGTAATCTAGCAGGGGAAATAGGCATTTGGAAAGCAACACAGGGTAGGCATGGTGACATACACCTTTACTCCCAGCACTCAAGAGGTGGAAGCAGGTGGATCTCTGAGTTCCAGGCCAGACAGAGACTCTGTCTCAAAACAAACAAAAATTGTGAGCACTTATTGAAAGCTTCTTAGAGGAAGGAGCACTTCCCTTTAGACAGGAAGCAGTGTGGCTAAGGAGTGAGGACAGTGATGGAGGCACAAGAAAAAAACTTCAAAGCTGCAAAACCTAGAAGAGGCAGGCAGTCTTGAAGTGCAGTAGGAAAGACTGACTAGTATGCTGTTGAGAGGGAAGGGAAGGCCACCAGCCAGTGAAAATGTGTTGTGGAGTGAGAAACAGTAGAAGGGGTTTCAGCACAAAAGCAACACAACCCGAGGTGTGTTTTGGAAAGTTTTCCTGGATTCCCCAAAGCACGTTGGTATTAAAAACAAACAAAAACCAGGACAGGTGGGAAGGACATTTAGGAAGTTACTAAACAGAAGATGATTTAGAGGAAGAAGGAAGGTTTAAGATCTACTGAGGTAGATAAATTGATATCCACTGATAAACCAATGAGTGTAACATTGTTTCCAGATATATTCAGTTATACATTGTTCTGATTCATAGACATGTAATAAAGTACTGGCATGTGAAAAATGATTAACATTTAGCTCTGTATAATGGCTCCTTTGAGGGAGGCCTATGTACAGTCAGAAAGAAATACCTATAAAGCTTCTAAATGTATTCATCTCTTAGCTAGACACACAGATACATAAGAGTTCAGTGTACATTTTAATACTTTTTTCATGTTTCAAATATTTAATTATAAATTTAAAAGAATATGCTTACTTTACTCAATCCATGTGTACCTACTTTAATCATGATGAGGTTTTTTTTTTTCCATTTTTGCAACAACAAAAAAATACTACAGAGTAACTCTATTTATTCCAGGTAGGAAGTAGGAGATTTTTATGAGAATAATAAAAACAATCTGACACTTTATAACTTAAATCTTATTCTAAGCATGAGCACTAATATACAACCAACACTGAATTATTGAACACACTCAAAGTATTCTGGCTCTTCAAAATAATATGATGCAGATTTCACCAAAGCAAAATAACATTCCTGTCATCAGCAATGAATGTGCAGCTTTATGTAAAGTGCCAAGTGCTTACTCTCCTACTGTTCATTTTTCATAATTTTCCACTCTACATTTTCAATTTAATGATACTAAAATTGACCTTAAATATCCTCAAGAGTATCAACACCAGCTTCTACAATAATCACCAGAAAGACATTGTAATCTGAGCACTGTCAGAATTGAGTATGTAATAGTAACATTCCCTAATCATTCCACAAGGTCACAGCAGCAACATTCCCTAGTAATGATTCCAAGATGCTCCTGGAGGAACAGAAGGGATAAATCCAACCACTCTTCCTTTCACTACATTAAAAGAATAACTTGCCCTGAACTATCCACCAGCACATCCTATTGCCTCTACCTTTAAAATGTGCCCCATACAACCAATTCTCACCACCTCCACTGCCACTTCTGTGGTCCAATCAACCATCATCTTCTACCCTGATGCCTGCCTCTGCCTTCTAACTAGTCTCCCATTGCCCCCCCCCCCAATGCACCACACTGTTTTCAATACTGTAACATAAAGTGATTCAGGACAGAATGTGTAACAGTACATGCCAGCTCTGTTGTATTTTTTTCCTCCCTTTATTTTTCTCCACCATACTTTCTCATCAATATACAGTATGGTCTACTTAGTTATTTGTTTATTGCCTGAGTACTACAAGGACAAAAACATCACGAAGACAAGAGCTTTGTCCATTTTTTCCTTTACTTGTTGTGGGATCACACTGTGAACCCTGAGTTTACATTTGCATTAATTAAATAAAAATCAACCTTGGGTCAGGAGGAGCCAGAAACTAGTTGACAGAAAGTAATTATAGAGAGTCAGAGGGAGTCTGGAAGATGGATAGAGAGACACACAAAAAGTATTAGTGAGGGACTTTGAGTGTGGTGGTCATTTTTTGGTTTGGCAGAGCAGAAGAATGTTCTCTTGCTCTCTTTCTGAGATGGTAGCAAAGAGGGAAGGTCAGCTAGTTGCTCCTCAACCTCTGAGCTTGCAGGTTTTCACCCCAGCCACTGATTCCTGGGTCTTATTGATAAACAGAATGACAGAGATTTAGTTAAAAACTATATTTGATGGTAGTGGCAGGAGGTGGATCTGGCAGGACATAAAAGTCAGGCCACTACCTGAGAATTGGGCCAGTAACTGCAGAACTGCAATTACTGACTGAAATAGCAGTAGATTCAGGTGCAGCCACTGTGTCAATAGAATAACATTGACTGTTACATGTCCAAATATAACAGTGTCAGGCATTTAGATTTAAATTTATTCCTAGTAATTTATTTAGTTTAATAAATGTCCTTTAAGTCACAAGATGCATAAACACTGATTCTTCCATTTTGACTTGTGATTTCTGCTCCCCTCTCTAATGTCAAAAGTAATGAAAACATAAGAAAGGAGTAGTTACCTGATTTGAGAACCATTAAGATCCTTGCATATGGGGAGGAGTTAGTTGAGGCCCAGTAATGGGATCACATTTACTTTTACATAACACTTGTTAATTATACACATTCAATGGGAGCCAGTGTGATATTTCCACATATGTGCATAGTGTACACTGGTCATATCTAATCACCCTTCTTTAACCCTGCCTCCCACAGATCTAGTACCTTTCCCAGTTACTAGTTACTACTATTCTACTCATAGGTCATTTTTTTTTAAAGTTTCCACATATGAAAGAACACACGATATTTGTCTCTGTCTGGCCTATTTGGTTAACATGATAACTTCTACTTCCACCCATTCTGCTGCAAATGGCAGGATTTCTTTATTTTTTATGGTTGAATAATGCCTTGTTATATGTACACTCTATTTCACTTACCAATTTACTTGACAGACATGTTGGTGATCTTGTATTTTAGCTACTGTAAATATGTCTGCAATAAAAATGTGCAAACAGGTATCTTTTTAGTGTGCTGATTTCATTCCACTGAATATATGTCAGGAGAATAGCTGAGCCATGTGGAAGTTCTACTTTTAGATTCTTAGAAAAGCTTCATATTTTTCTTCATAATGTCTTTATTACTGTTCTGTTGCTGACCAACTCATAAAAGAAAGCATTTTAGGGGAACTTGCTTACAGTTTTTTTTGGTTTTTAAAAATGCATTTATTTTTATTTTATGTGCATTGGTGTTTTGCCATGGGTACTGGGTTCCCTGGAACCGGAGTTACAGACAGTTGTAAACTGCCATCTGGGTGCTAGAAATTGAACCTGGGTCCTCTGGAAGAGCAGTCAGTGCTCTTAACCACTGAGCCATCTCTTCTGCCCTTGCTTACAGTTTTTTAAAGGGCTAGTCCACTCTCATCATGGTGGGAAACATACAGGCATGGCACTGGGCAAGTAGCTGAGAGCTTTACATCCTGATTCACAGGCAGCAGGCAGAGAGAGATATAAACCTGGCCTAGAGTGGGCTTTTGAACCTCAAAGGCCACCCCCAGCAACACACCTCCTCCAACAAGGCCACACCTCCTATCATTCCAAATAATTCAACAACTGGGGACTGCTGTGGGATGTTCTGTATGTTAAATGTGTTGCTCTGATTGGTTAATAAATAAAACACTGATTGGCCAGTAGCCAGGCAGGCAGTATAGGTGGGACAAGGAGAGAGGAAAATTCGGGGAACAGGAAGGCGGAGTGAAGAGAGACACTGCCAGCCACCACCATGAGAAGATGTTAAGATACCAGTAAGCCACGAGCCATGTGGCAACTTATAAACTAATAGATATGGGTTAATTTAAGATATAAGAACTAGATAACAAGAAGCCTGCTGCGGCCATACAGTTTGTAAATAATATAAGCGTCTGTGTGTTTATTTTATAAGTGGGCTGTCAGACTGCCAGAGCTTGGCTGGACCCGGAGAGGAAACTCCAGGTACAGGGGACTAAGCATGCAAATATGTAAGCTTATTTGGGACATTCTTGTTCAAACCACCACAATTACATCCTGACCAATGATGTATACAAGTTCTTTTTCCTCTATATTCTACATTGTTTCTTATAACATTCCTTCTAAACACAGTGAGATAGTATCACTTTTGGCATTACTCTAAGGGCTAAAGACACAGGGTATTTTCTCATATACTCATTTGCCACTATATTTCTTCCTTTATGACCTATTAATTCATGTGTCCCTTTTAATTGAATAACTTGCTTTTTGGTAACTGTTAAGATTTTTAGTTCATATACTTAAGGGTAGAATGCAAACACAGTCTCCCACTACTGTAAACTACAGTCAGCATCTCCCACATTTGGGGAAATCACAGAAGTCAGCACATCCAGAGTGCAGTAGTTAAGCCTCACCTGGGAAAACCACTTTCATCCTCGTGGTAACTCCTGCCACATAAATACAGTTTTGGGGTTCTTTATAGCTCTAGATATTAGTCTACCCCCAATGAACAGCTATTGAGTATTCTTCCTATCCTATATCCTACTCTCTTTTTTTCTGTAGGTTGTCCCTCGGTTTTCTGTACAAAAGTTTATTAGGTTAATATATAATGTCAGTTTTTGTTTTTGTTTCTTGAACTTATCCAGAAGATTACTGACTATACCAATATCTTCAATGCTTTATCCATGTTTCCTTCTTATAATTTCAGGTTTTATAGTATGGCCTTTGATCTGTTTTGAATTGAGTTTTATACAGGGAAAGACATAATGGTTTCAGAATCATTTATTGAAGAGGTTGTCTTTTTTCAAATGTGTTTTTGGCACCTTTGTTAAGGGGCTGCAGTTACAAGGCTTTATTGGATTCTGGGTTTCATATTGTGTTCTATTGGCCTATGTATCTGGTTTTACATTTCTGTTATTATGGTTCCTGCAGTAGCTTGAAATCAGGTATTGTGGTATTATGGCTTTGTTTTTTTGTTTTCTTTTTCCTTTTTGAGATTACTTTTCTAGTTTGGGTAAGAAAATCTTGATACTTTGATGAAGGCTGAATTGAATCTGTGAGTTTAATAATACTAAATTGTCTAATGTATGAATATGGGAGGTCTTTGCAGGTTTGTTTTATAATTTTTATTGTAAAGTTATTTTAGTTCTGTATTTAAATTTATTCCTAAGGTATTGTGTGCATGTATGCAGGTATGGGGGTGCTAACTGTGAAAGAGGATGCTGCCATGATTCAGGAATGAGATTTTTAGAGAGAATGTTTTTTTGGTCTCAGAACTTCCATTGGTAAGTAAAACTTTAAGTAGCCTATACAGGTTTTTTTGTTGTTGTTGATTTACACAAAGCACTTGTTTTCTGTATTCTTATGCATATACACCAACAACTCTTGAGGATTTTCAGGAACATTTACTCTTTCCAGAGCTCTTAACTATCCTTAGATCATCTTATTCTGAAGAGGTTTTTTTCTGGGGTGGGAGGTGTTGGGGCTAAAAGGGGACAGTGTTATATAACGAGCCCATTCAAATCTTGTCAGAAGACTTCCTTGAAAGGGGAATTACCCTTGGCAGTATTTCATCAGATAATATAGAACTGTCATTTTCTCATCATTCTTATAAGAAAGGAGGCACTTAGAGACATACTCTAATTCGAAGGGTCAATGATTTCCTTAAATTACATGAAATATCAAGTTACTATATAAAGCTGAATATATTTCGTATTTTAAAATTGAACTATCTAGGAAGAGTCAACTTAAACACCCGCTGTCAGTTACCTTGTCAAGACTAAGAGAAATGTTGCAGTTTTCCTTACTTCTTTTGGAAAAAGGTGACACAAAAGAGAGGGAAAGAAAACTTGGGAGAACTACTTGAATCATTAAGAGGAAAAGAGATAAAAAGAAACTTCTATTAAGGCCACTGGCTAAAATTTTGCTTTTACCAAAAAGTATTTCAAGTAGGTTTGTCTGGGGATGAGATTAAGAAGCCAGGTTCACTTAAAAACTGAGAAGTAACTAAAAGGGCTATATAGATCAATAGAGCACAGTATAAGGGAATATTATACTTAATGGGATATTTAGTGCTAAATACATTGTCCCAATCTTATTTGACCTGAGAGTCTTATTTTACAACTGAAGCTACAGAGCTTTAGAAAGGTTAACTAACATGAGCAAGGTATCCAGAAAGGATCAAGATCTTAACTTTTAACTAATCTTCTACTGTCTCTTTGTTCTTCTTGTAATAGTGAATCCTTTCAGAATTTTCCCCATTAGGGTAACTTCTGTCATATAGGCACAAAAGTGATTCTAGTCCCGGGATTGGGTTACATTTAATTGAGCTATTGGCCAAAGAGGTCCCATGGGAACCCCCAAACAACCCAGGCTGTTGCTAAGACTATAGGTTGCTCTCCACAAACAAACAGCAAGGCCCCATTCCTGAAGACAACACCAATATAACCCATTGAACATGGAGAAGTTGAGCTGGTGCCTACATAGAGACGTCACCCCTATGTCCTAGTGTCATTGGCGTAGGAAGGTATGCTGCCTGATACCAAAAAAGAAACGTAAACACCAACCCAGCCACAAACGCTTTGATCTACAATATTGTCCTGCATGCAAGACATGATAGGGCAATGGTGACACTATGCTTGTAGGAGTAACCAACCAATATCTGATTTGACTTAAGGCCCACCACTCCACGAGATGTAACCCATACATCTCAGACCAATAATCTGAGACTAGATAACCCAGGGACTTTGGTAAAACCAAATACTATTATTCTAAAAAAAAGTAGCAATAAAATGACTCCTAATGACATTCTGCTATACTCACAGATCAGTGCCTTATTCAGCTATCATCAGAGAAGCTTCCTCCTGCAGCAGATAGGAACAAATACAGAAACCCACAGCCAGACATTATGCAGAAAGTGAGAGACCTTGGAACACTCAGCCCTAAATGGTAAGTCTCTATCAGGGAATCCTAAGGAAGAGGAGGTAGAAAGAATGTAAGAGCCACAGTGGATGGATGACACCAAGAAACAAAGCGTTCTAAATCAATATGATCAAAGCATATATGAACTCACAGAGACTGAAGTAGCATGAACGTGGCTTGCACAGGTCAGCACCAGGTCCTCTCTGTATATATTATGGCTTCCAATTTAGTGTTTTCATGTTATTTCTGAGTGTGGGAATGAGTGGATCTCTGTTTCTTGTGCCCTCTCTTGGGTATATTCCTTCTGCTTGTTTTATCGAACTGATGTATTAGTTTTTGTTTTATCTTATCTTATTTGATTATTACCCCTTAGAAGTCCATTTGTTTTCTAATAAGAAACAGAAAGGGAGTCGATCAGGATGGTGGGGAAATGAGGAAGAACTTGAAGGAGCTATGGTAAACTGTAATCAGGATATATTATGTGAAAAAAAATCTGTTTTCAAGAAAATGGGAAAAGGTGCTTCAGCTTTTAGTTCTAGCCCTTGGTCCCTATCTCTATGGAATTTCAGAAGTCACATCAATCTCTTCAATCTCCAAATGAGTTTCATTTTGCTGCATTTTTGTGAATTATAATCTGACCTAGGATTAGCTATCTAAAAGTACAATGAATCTCTTCCCCTTGGTTACAAGAATACTTATACTAAATAAAACAACTCAAAAGGCAATGGCTATAGTGGTTTAGAATGCATTTGGCAGCATCTACTCATATTGAGGGTACATACACTCAAAGCAGGGAATTTCATTTCTAGGAATATATCCACAGAAATGTGTGCCTGTTCAACAGAAAACAAATACAGGATCACTCACAGTCACACTTAACAGCCTTAATGTGGAAACAATTCTAAGGCTATCAACAATGAAACAGAAGAATAGATAAGCTGTAGTGTAGCTACAATGAAGAAGATAAACCATGTTTAGATGGAAAAATGTGGATGAATCTTACAAACATGATGAGGATAAAAGAAATTATACAGGAATTTTGTTGTTTATGATTACATGAAGTACAGAAACACATAAGACAAAGGTATGGTACTGAA